TCACAATAGCTATTAGCTAATGGCTACAGATGATTAGACTTCCATCACACATTCTAGCGAGTTCAATTGAAGCACGCTCTTCATGTGAGGTACTTCGGTTATACATCTCATGAGTTCTGCATGGCGTCTATTATCCCAGTTACTGCCTATAACTAATACCCTGTCATGTTTCTGACTGACATCTTTCCGAAACTCATCCCGATTCGTTCCATTTGTCGAGTCTATCATATATTCGCTGATTCACACTGTACAACTCGACGAAACAGTTGAAATGAACTACAGAACATCCACAAGTCACGGTCACGAATCATGGTCACTGCTCATGTAGCGGGTTTGGTATCGTGGTAGAATTCATTCATTTTGAATTCAAAGATACCATTGAAAAGCGCCTTCCAAGATCTTTCTAGTGAGCTATCTTTCACTGGGAAATTCTTTGAATTCTGCAAGTTACAGACAATAGCACATTTTATTCGGGGCACCCTGGAGATGCGTTTTGGGCTCCTAAATTGTGTAGCTTCGATAAGGTCGAGACAGATCCTTATGCAACGGCAGGACTTGGCCTGAGCCGCTCATGCAACGCTCAGGCTGAGCGTGATGACAGACCAAACCATCATAGAGCGGCTCACTCAAGTCGTTCCCAGGTATCCTCCGCACAGCCTCATTTTGCTCGAACCCTCGAAGCCGTTGTTAATAACAACATGTTATAACAACTTGTTATACAATACAAGTACGACAGTCATATGCAAACTCGAGCAATGTGGTGCTTCATCGAGCACCTATGAACATACGAGATAAGACGGCTAGACTCGAAAGAATTCCGGCAGATTATGCGTGACGGATGCAGTCAGTTCCTGTTATCAAAGAAGGTCACGAAGGTTGAAAGAGACAGATGAGCGGTACGAGATTAATGCCGCCATCTAAAGACACACTAAGGTTAGTCCTGAGGCTGTCTTTCCCTCATCACTACAGCATAGGAGGACGTCAGTACCCCAAATACACCTCTTTCTGTACCAAAGCGAACTGGCGGACGCATGCGTGGCACGCATTGCGTGCGTGATGATCACGGCACGTCGTGATCCCAGGGATGACGCCGTGATCCCTCATGTGTTCATTCTCCTGTTGCCTATTTCCCGAGAACTAGTAGTAGTACCGAGGAAACCTATCGTGACAGTTACTCCTCCTAACACCGCCCTTGAGGTAACGGATTCTGCTGCTATCCGAGGGGGATTATCGGAGGGCATTGCTCTCTTGTGTGGGGTGTCTCTCATACACGGGTTGTCCTCGTAGCGCAGTAGCGGAAATAGGAGTATTGGTATATCTTACCAAATCAGCGAAGCAATAACACAGAACTATGCTTTATAATGGATTCACTCTTCGTGATATCGCGGTACCATCAAGGCATAGTGACTCACAGAGAGCCCCTTGGAAATCGCGAGCTGAAGTCACCAGCAAAGTAAAATGACACTTGATGAGATTCCTCCTTTTTGAACTTCATCATCGAAACTGCAACCCGGAATTGTCGTCTTTGTCCGTGAAATTGCACTCCTTTACCATGGAAGTGATTTCCTAATCCACAAAATCTATTTTCCTGTTGAATAGGTAGCCTATTCAACCACCACCGCTAAATTGACGTGCCCGGTTGCTAATATGATTTCTTTGCTCGGTTAAAAAGTGGCCTCGACCGCCAAATAGATGTCTGAAAGATATACTTCTGGCATAATTCGATGTATGATGTACGAAAAAATAATCGTAGACCGTCCACGGTAGATGCTGAGGATACGTGCTTGTTGGAATTGGCTATCATGCTAGGCAGAGCGAAGTCAAATTGAAATTATCGGGTCATCCAACCTGATAATGTCAGGCTGACATTCGCGTATTTCCTCATATGTAACTCATTTCTAGTGGAAGAAATTGTGTAACACTAATCTTGCAATATTGCTCCGCCCTCACCATTAATCATATACGATTCTCAGATAAGAGTGGGTATATTTCGACGAATTCATATTCGTAGGGTATATGTTCCATGAAGTCAAATACGAAATATTCGTAGCTCGATTATCTCATAGCACGAGAAAAGGCCTTAAAATGCCCTGGGAAGATTTCTCTGAGTATAGCTAGTATGTTTAGACTGCGGATCCTCCCGGAACGATCGCAAATCAAGAATGGTAGTGCTCGCCGTCTTCAAGGCTCGAGTTGATGTCTTCCACGGCACAACTGTGGCATGGTACCCATCCCGGTGTTTTGAGAAGCCAAGGTCGGGCGAACTCCTTGACGATGTCAGCGTGCGTTGTGGCGACACAGGTCCTGGTCTAATCGATCTCTTGAAGAGATTTTCTTCCTATAGTGGGGAGGTCCTCACTCGGACATCAGAGAATCGCTTCCAGTAAATGATAACCAGGTAACAGATTCGTAAGTATCTGGGGATTCTCGAAACCCACAACTCGAGAGGGTTCTCTGCGGTTAACCGAATCGGCTTGGATAGGATGTGTAAGATGAGATTAGCAACTAATACGAATCATGATCTAGTACTCCCGCAGTATACATGGTACAATTTGTGATGTGCAAGGAGCAACGGGCCGCCTATTCTGTCTTATAATAAGTTATTGCACCCTTGTCGATGACAAGTTGTTACCCACTTCGTCAAGAAGTTCTTGGCAAGAGCAATTGAACTCCATTCCCGAAGAGATGGTCGCTTCGGAAGCGACGCTTCCGCACCAATAGAGGGTCTTGATGTTCCTGTAGGGCTCAGCGTGTTTCACTTTAGCAGTTGTGACAGTTCCATCCGTTCTTTTGTTCTTGCAGGTGAGGAGCTATCCACGGCCCGCCAGCAGCATGTAAACTTCGCAATAGAGTCTTACAGTGTAGACTTGACTCCCTTCACTCGCCGAAAATCAAATTTCATCTATCTAATTTGTTTTCTTTTGTTGATTTTGAGATTGAAAAGGTGTAGTGTTTAGCTCGCAGGAGTCATAACTCCTACGTTACCCAAATTCCTTCACTTATCTGCTACACTATAGTTCATACAACCCAGAGATGGCGGACTAGCCACGCACATGATATTCGAGACACTGAAGCTCAGCAAGTGGTGTCCATAGATGAGACTAAGCACAGCAGGGAAAGCTAGGGTCCAATTAAGTTACATAACTTCCAGTCTCTGGCTAGCGAGATAGCTAAGGGTGAGCGTTACAGCTAGAACTATTGACATTAACCTTACATAATGTGAGTCACATTCCTTCGACTATCTACTGTAGTAACTACGGTGTAGTTCATAGAATTCTTTCACCTTGATCACTGATACAGCACAGCAAACTTATTACGGGAGCTAGGAACTTGATCGAGAAGTTCGATAGGATACTTGCAGTGTCCAACGTAGTGTCCAGCACACTGGACAGTATGGTACCGTCCGGCTACTAGCGTTAGTTAGTATTCGATGTAGACTATTGTGCTTCCTGTGAATTTGGCGCGCGCCATTCTAATCGATGAAGTTGCCCTATCGTACGCCAGGGCCTGTTGACAAAATAGGACGCAGTCGTTCAGATCCCGGGAGTGTATAGTCTCAAACGGCCCGTATGTAGGAAGCGAAACACGATGCAGACGTGGTGGTTTACAGTAGCTCTTTTGCTCTATCGCATTTTCTATAAAGTATGCCAGCTAATAAGAAGACCGGCGAGAACACTGCCATAGGACAGCAGCAACATGGTCAATTTGATGCCAATAGATGGATGATTGATGAGTATCCAATACCCTTTCCTATTCATTCAGCAGATCATCGTTGCTTTTAGACTCAGCTCACTAGGATTGGATGGCGTCGCTGGTGCTAAGCTCGTTACCACACTATTGGAACAAGTAAGATCACGGTGAAGGGTTAAGGGATCGCATAAAGGGATGTAAAACCGCGTATGGTCACCTCAGCATCCTCGTAAGGCTGATCGTGTCACTCAAGTGCGGAAGTACCTTACCACCGCTGGTTTCAAGAGGGCCGGCGCGAATTCGATCAGCCGGACCATAGTTGCAGTCGTGGAAGGGTCTCTGCCTCCCACTAGCCTCAAGGATAAGGTGGACACCTCTTCCGAGAGAGATCCTCATCAACGTCATCAGCAACTCCCTGGTAATTTCCGGATCCAACCCACATCGCTATCGAGGGTCTCGTCTCAGCTGGTTCGTCGGACGACTTGGAATTCTGGAGTCCGAGTGGCGAGGAATTCACGCCACCTCACCAACCTGCGGATACTCCTTCACCACCTAGAGTGGCGACTTCATCATCAGCAGCAGCTAGATCGAAGAAGGTGAAGCCTGTGAAGATTACTGGTAACGGGTAGTGATATCGTATTGAGTATTACCAAAATCTCGAAAATTATTATACAACAACTGTAACTGTTAGCAGACTATATATAAGTAGTGGAATGAATATACCTAAAATTTCATTCCATGAGGGAATAATAAAAACCTATCATGTGCATCACTATTTCGATTATCAGTTTATATCGTTTCCTTTCAGGCCGAGACCTTACTACCATGCTTGGGGTCACCCAGGAGAGGTCTATACAGCAGTATAGTGACGATGAGGGTCATGGTGGTCGCGTGTTAACTCGACATACTCGTAAACCTCTTACTACTGGTATCAGCCCCTTCAGTACTAGCAGGGGAATTCTCTGTTTCAGCGTCGAAAGGGCGTGGAGTCGGTCGTAATCTGCGCCCACCGACCGCCGGTGTCGAATTCCCAAGAGCCACGATGGCCGCGGGGTCGGCGCCACGTCCGGCTGGAGTCTGGGCTGATCCTACCAGATCT